ACTTATACATGTTATATACATATTTTATATATATTATATACTCGCTTATTTCTGGGAACGTTCAGGTCAGTTGATTACTGAGCCCACTACTGGTATCCATCCCAAGACCCACAGAAACCAGCCAACCCTTCCTATTCACCAGGGAGGATGCCAGATGAAAAACTTTGTGCTTAAGGACTTTTTGGATCAACCGGGCGTTAAATCTCAGGAATTCTACTGACAACCAGAAGTCCTGAGCTCCATGCCTGCTACAACCAGGTTCCCCCTCCACCTTGTACCTTTCATGTCATTCCCAGTTGCCTGCTTGGATCAGATGATACCAAGCACAACAATGTCACTGCAACTCCTGCTATTGGAAATAGCCACAAGGAGGTTTCCCGACTAGCATGTCCCCATTCCACATAAAGCAGAACATAAGAACAGCTTTGCCAAACCCCTTGAGTTAGGAGTGAGACAAACAGAGTGCTACAATGCTGATCTACCTTCCTATAGCTGGGAGTATATGGGAACACACAGCCCCTCCGTTTGACACCCCGAAGGTCAAATGAATTCTATTTCAGAGAAACAACACAAAATTACTGCTTTGTGACTAACAAGCTTTCATTCACAAAAGAGCTTCCTCTGCAGAGGCTGTGAGTGAACAATTCCTATTGCCTGCTGTAAAAAACAAAAAGTGCAAAGAATCGTATTTTTTTTTCTTAAAACTGCTGAGCTCAAACAAAGCTTTTCACTCTCTGATACCTGCTAATTTGGTCACTGAAATGTGATGTAGGTTTCAAAGTATCTTATTCTGACTCTCTGCAGAGCCCATCAGCAGAACAAACAAGTTACCAGTGTTTGGATTCTCATTACCTCAAATTAGCCTCAGCATAAGACGACAGGAGCAGAGCCAAGCTTTCTGCGGGTGCTTACACGGCACCTGTTAGCACTCCATAAAGGACACAGAAAAAGGAGGGCAGGTTTCTCTGCTGTCTGCCCACAAAGCTCTCCTGTCAGACTACTGATACCTCTTCTGACAGCAACTTTCAGCCTGCACACCCGCGCCACTTTTAATCCACTAACAATGAATCAGTTGCCTCGCTTAGAAGTGTCCGTGAGGAGTGCAGGGACTGCATGAGGGAACTGGGGGCGGGAAATAGAAGGATGACTGTGCCAAGTAACATGTAGTATCACCACAAAGACATAAATCTAAGCTAAAACAATACATTTGTTTACATTCAAGCCTAAAAAAAGGTTGGGACAAAGAAAACAGTAAGTTCAAAGGAGAATCCTCTGGTTATCAAAGGGGAAAGTGAGTTACAAAATGTTTGATCATTCATATAAATAGTTCTGCTGGGCATTTCAGGCTACAGCCACAGGAGTAAAGACAGAAAGATGGGCAGATCTTTGGATGGGACAAACTGACCTGCTCCAAAATGCATCCAAAATAAAGCCACCTGTGAAGAGCCAGAGGGTGACATACTAGGATCATTACAACAGACACATTCTCCTCTTTTATGCTGTTCCTATTACAGTTTGGCATGCTTATATGTCTCATCTACTTACTCCACCTTGCCTTTGATTCCATCTGGAACAGTCTCATCAGTAGCACACCTGTAGAGTGACTAATAACACGGTTATGACTTTTAGGCTACACCATGGACCAAAACATTAAGAGAAAGTGAATCCAGCATCTTTCCATGAAACCCCGCCCCAGGGGCCCAGTTACATTCAACATGCCAAAAGATTTTGTGACAAGGTACGATTTTGCAGGAGCTGAGTCTGATGACATGCTTCCCAAGCAGTCAGCTGGCCCTTTCATTCTTGCCTCCCTCCCTTCCTCCTGTCCCGGTACTAAGGTTGGGGGGGGGGGGGGGGGTGGTGCATTTTATAGCCAACAGCTGATACCAATGCACCTCTTCCTACTCAAATCAGGTGTAACAGCAACATAATTAGAGACAGGAGTTCAAGCAAAACACATCCATGCAGAAGTTTGATTTATTAAGTGTTTGAGCAAGGACTGGGTTGCTAATATTGAAAACTTTAAAGGGGGAAAAATAGCAGGATTGAACCACAGTGCTAAGGTTGTCCATATGTACAGACTGGGCATTAGCCCAAAGATAACAAGCCTACCCACAGCTGTAGTATGTTTAATCAAGTCTTGCAGACTAATTATTTTGCACAACGAAATCCAGCACCTGTGAAAATTTTCTTATTTCAGCTGTGGGCAAAGCTGCTTAAATAACATTTTCAATTTCAACAAGAAAAACCAAAACAAAATGTCTTCAAGTCCAAAATGTCCAGAGTCAACTGCAGTACCCAGGAAGTACAGAGGGAATATTTAACTGAACTCGTATCAAACCTCCTACTCACATGAGAAAGCTCTTTCCTATTAATACTTGTGGTATCTAATTGCAAGTCCTCAGAAGTAAGCGTCTTTTGACTTCCATGAAAGAAAATAAGGAGATGAGAACTTATTCATCTACCAGTATAAAAGCAGCTTTATGTAGCAAACGAATATATCTGTATATTTGTGCATGTGTAAAATAGCAACTAAAAGCCACAGAAACATGAAGCCTGAGTGATATCTGAGCAGTGGTTCTGACTGTAGTTCACTCTTAGCTGCTTTTATGGAAATGTATCTGTTCTTCCTGCTGTGTTGGGTTTTTGGTTTGGGTTTGGGTTTTTGTTGGTTTGGGTTTTTTTACAGACTTGTTTTTAGCACTTGCGTCTTGGACAAATTAGTCATCAAAAAAAAAAAAAAAAAAAAAAACCCAAACCTTCCCCCCCCCCCCCCCCCCCCCCCAAAAGCTGCTGTCTTTTCCCACCCTGCTCTCAAAGCTGGACTCATGAAAACCCATTTCTTATACCATCTTAGTCTTGAAAATTATTTCATCAGTATAGGTATAATATTAACAGCATTGTCTGCTAAAAGTGTCTAAAAAGCAGTTTTCTTTTCCTCAGCAGCAGGCAGCAAGGCTAACTACTGCTTTGCTTTGACTACACTAACAGTACTAAAAATGTGTATACATAAAAGAAAGTAAATTGTGGGTGAAAATTGTACAGGTAAACACTACCACATACAAATGAATAAATTGCTTTTTTTAGCAAGTCAGAGCCAGTTCTCACTGCTGCAATAAACATTAAACGTGAAAGGCACCTGAAAGCTTCTAAAAGAAGGATATTTTTTTTCTAAGGCTTTAAATGTGCTTTTGGCACACTCACACTTTATCATTCAAAATAGCAACAAACCAAAACACACAAAAAGGACAGAGTTAATTCAATGCAAAGATCTTCCCTCTCAGTAAATGTCTCACACAGTACTACTCTTAGCAACAGAATGTTTATACAGCACAGGATAAAGAGAGAGGCTTTTCGCTGACACCTGGGGCAAAACCAAAGAACAAAAGCAGCTCCCAATACAAGAGAGAAAGTTACATTTTTCAAGTGTTCCCACCCAATGTGGACAGAAGGCCAGCCATAACAAGTTGCAACAATCAACCTATTTACCCACTTCCAGAAAATGCTTGTAAATTTAAACTGTGTGAAATGTCTAACTACTTCTCATTCCATCAAAAGGATTCATTAGCAATGGACAATGAAGCCCCTGGCTTGACCTAAAGGGGCTGGTAGGTTAATCTATTCTGACCTTATCTTTATGCAGTCATGAGACGCAAAGATTGCTTGAACCACTTACCAGCATTTAACAATGCCAACAGTCACCCTTTTACTACAGTGCTCCTCCAAAGTGCCATTCAACCCAAATTTTTAATCAAGGGGGATATTAAAAAATTTTCAAAAATTAATTGTAAAACAAACCGAAATGCCATTTCTCATTGGTACAGAACAGAGAACAGAGAGGTAAACAACCAAAAGCAGAGAATTTTTATCTTGCCTTTGCACATCTCTTTCTGACTTCCACCGTCGCTTATTGTCAATTTTAGATAATACGCTATCTCTTATTAACTGTCAATCACATCTTTTATTTATAGCATTTTCACTCATATGGAAGAAACTAGACAAAAAAGCTACTATTTGATAAAACCTGCCTTGTAACAACAGGCTTAATCATACAGACCTCAACACTTTGTATTTTAATAACTACTGGCTTGTTTTCAAAACTCATTCCATGAGGATGCTCAGCACTAAACATAGCAAAGCAATGAGTTAAAATTAAGCACATAATTAGGCCCACAGAAGTCAGTAAGCTGGATTCATCACTCTGTGACTGATTTAATCACTCAGCTCTCATATATTTAAAGTTCACAGCCTATGTTTAAATGCCCTTCTGGAGCAAAGTCTCCAGTGCTCAATGCTGTATGGTGCCCAATCCTGCACAAGCATTGTCCTCCCTTTAATAGTACAATAATCACCTGTATGAAGAAATGACAGACTTACATTAACCTGTTATAGCAAGGTAGCTTTGAGAACAGCAAGAATTATGAGAACAGACTTTCAGCGCAGGTTCCTTCATGCATTCACGTTTAACTGTGTGGCTGTAATTCCTGAAAACAGATCACTCATGTGACCTGCCAGGTAGCAAAACATTTTGACATGAAGAAGAGAGCTGTGTTCTCACTTGACATATCAGTTAGAGCACTTATTCTTCAGCATCAACAAACAAATGTGTTTTCATTTAACCTTCTACACCTTTAAATGGTTTGGCAACACAAGAGAATATCAAAAAGCACAAACAACAATCAGGCACCTAAATGACTTTTGGAAATACCTTGAAAAAAATCCATGACAATCTTTTTTAAAATGATCCCGAGAACAAGGTCTAAGCTTAAATCTATTCCTAATTAGATTTAGGCAGATGCTTAAAATACCAAGGAAGATTAAGTGCTATCACCTTTTTCCAAAAGCAGGATCATCAAAGAACAGGGAAGTAAACCATAAGCCAGTGACTACAGCATGAAACGCAAGAGAAATTAAGAACAAAGGGAAGAGCTTTTCCTTTAGATAGCAGAGGATACTTTTATGAACTACTCATAGGACTGCAGTACCTCAAAAGTTCCTACCTTGAAAAGCTGTGATATGGCCAACAATCATGTACTTCAGTTCAAAGTTCAGTGCCTGGATACTTTGAGTCCTCTCCCTTCGAACAGCTGCCTGGTAGCTTTCTTCCATTTTTTTGGTGCAACACGTTGGTGCTCTATGTTGACAGATCTGTAAATCTGACTCTTAAACCAAACAAGAAAAATACAATAATTAGAAAACCTTTCAACTTACACCATGAAAATAAATAATGCCTCTTAATGTCAAAACAACCACCATGTTTAACATTTTGAAACCAAACACAACCCACAAGGAATGACATTGTGAAACTCAAGTTATTGCTTCAAGGACACTAATTTATGACTTTCACCTAAATCTGGATAACATCACACTACAGATGCAAATTTGTTTTACACTGTTATGAGCATTGGGCACAAAATCATCTAAACATAGTCAAGAGCACAGCAAAATCACTGAATACGCACATGTAAAGGGGCAACATTTCCACTATACGCCTTGTGCTAAGGGCATCATAGCTCGAACATCTGAGTGAAACCCCTATCAGCTCTTACACTTGGGGAAGCATCTCAAATCTTTGAACTCCTAAGCAGCTCACCCCAAAGAAGAAAAAAAGGCATCTGAGTTTTTTAAAAGGTATGGGAGCTGGAGTGGCTTTTTTCCCCTCCTTTTCTCTCTAGTTTTAACATGTTTAGTTCCTTTCTGAATCAGATTTCAAAACAAAATGAGCAGCAATAGTTGCCACAAAACCAGAATGGATTTCTGCAAAAGCCTGAGTTTAGCCGCTGCACAGGGCCAGAGGTAAGAAACTCAATTCCACACAGAGACCCAAACCTACAACCACTGGGAAGTTAGAGACTGCTACTTCAATTTCTAGGCTTAACTTGTAGTGAAAGTCAACAAGTATTCACCTGAATAAAGAACCGGTTTTAAACTTAGTAGATCATCATCTACTTGACAGTAACCTTGAAATTTTTGAAACCAAGTTCTAGCCTGCCTATATGTAATGCAAAGGCTCTGAAATCGCTCCCACTCACAACTACAGAGAAAGTTGACAGCTGATTAAAAAACTTAATTTTTGTGGAATATTTTTTATCATTCCGTCTTTGCATGTGTTTCAGTAAGTTTAGTGTCCTCGATTAGGAAACCTATGTCACACAAAGTTGCGATGGACACTCAGGGTCTGTTTGCTCTATACCACAGGATTTGCAGGTGCCAGAAAGTTCTGGAAAGGAGTGGTTACAGACTACAAATACGTTCTGGTGTTTCACAAATATACATTTTAAGAAGGGGGGGGGAAAAAGCAAAGGATTATTAAATAGAGCAAATCCAAAACCAGAGGCATGCACAAAAATATACCAGAGCCAAAACAGTCACATAAAAGCAGGTGTGTCCGATGCAATTATCGGTTAAGCAAGAACACCTAGCAGGAAGCCTTGGCCAGCATGTTTCAGGCATTACCTTCCCTCCAGCTCGAGTTGGAAATGGCAGCTCTGAGGGAAAGGGGCCACAGGTGCCACCTCCATCACTGGCATGGAGGCCTCCACAGGGCTCTGGGGAAAGGAGACACCCTTTCCTGGGAAGGCTGGTGCCATGCTGGGGGCCCAGCTCCCTGCTCCGCCCCACCAGAACCTGACAGCAGCCCCGTGGGAGGTGGGGCCCAAGGCACTGGCTGGAGCTGGGCTGCCCCCACACCGCCAGCCCTCTGGGCCCAAGGGGATCTCTGGCTTTAAATGGCTGTGAACACAGCTCTGGCAATCGCTCCCCACACAGCAACAACAGGATGAGGAGCATTAAGGAATGGAAACTGCCCCCATTCTCCAAAAGGCCATATTCTTCCAGAGGATTTCACCCAGGTCACTGTCACCGCAGAGCACCCAGACCAGCCCTTGGGACAGAAATATTAAGGAAGCAATTACACTGCATTAATCCTCACCATTTGGCATAGCAAGACTCCACATTCAGTTGACAATGATGACAAGGATGCACTCTGGCAAAGCAGTAGAGGAACAGCAAATCATAGAATGTTCAGGGTTGGAAGGAACCTTTAGAGGCCATCTAGTCCAACTCCCCTGCAGGGAGCAGAGACATCTTCAACTGGATCAGGTTGCTTAGAGCCCCGGCTAACCTGGTCTTGAATGATTTCCAGGGATGGGGCCTCCACTACCCATCTGGGCAACCCGTTCCAGTGTTTCACCACCCTCATTGTAAAGAATTTCTTCCTTTTATCTAGTCCAAACCTACCCTGTTTTAGTTTAAAACCATTACCCCTTGTCCTGTCACAGCTGGCCCTGCTAAAAAGATTGTCCCCATCTTTTCTAGAGGCCCCTTTTAAGTACTGAAAGGCCACAATCAGGTCTCCCCACAGCCTTCTCTTCTCCAGGCTGAACAACCCCAATCCTCTCAGCCCGTCCTCGTAGGAGAGGTGCTCCTGAACATCCAAAGAACCAGGCCTGTACTCAGGGCCAGCTGCAGGCCAACAGCTCACTGAGACCAAAGCTGCAGGAACTTCAATAAATCTCCCTTGCCAGGAAAAAAAATAAAAACACTGCGCTGGTTGAAACACATCTCATTTGACTTGAAAATACTGCTTCCAGTTTACAACAACTCTCATTTGAAAGTGCAGCTGTCAAAAAAGTCAAAGCCAAAGTGAAATATTTCAACAAACCTGCATTTTTGTATCAGTTCACAAACACATCAAAGGTGTCACAGACTGGGCTGACACAGGAAACCATTTTGGCGGTGAATTTGTTTCACATTTCGATACAAATCTCAAAAATAGGAAAAAACAATTCTGCCCACTCAAATCTGAAGTCCTAAACCCCCTGAAAGCCCTTGAGACAAGACCACCGCACACTGGCACGAGCCAGTGGGCTGCTAAAAGCCGCAGCAGGAGGGCTGCGCACTCATCACCGGCTGGGCATGCTCGCCTGCTCTCGTCTGCCAGAGAAGCTGTCCCAGGTTGAAATTAGCTTCTTGGCCAGGCTAATTTTAACTTGGATCGGTTCCCTGATCCAGTTCCCCCCATGAACATATGTTTGCTCTGTCACAAGGACCTGGGGGTGAGGGAAGGACCGCTCCTCTGAGCTAGCACCACAAAGCGTATGTGAAATCACAGTACAGACTGCTGAGCAACTAAGTCAGTTTTGCAAATAGGTGTCTGAGCAGAGGGGTTGTAAATGTTACTCGGCATCTGCAGTGCTGGGCTGCTGTTACTCTGAGCATTTCTCCTTACAGCAGCCCTCTGAATTTTTGTTTGAAAGGCTTTTGCAAAGCTCAGACCTGTATTCAAAAGGTTTTGTCCGTGCTGACTACGTGCCTGTTCTGCCCTGGCAAGGAAGCTATGCACCGCTATCAGCGCTGTGACTAGCATTCCCCTTTGAACCGAGGCACCACGGGAACCCACATCTCCTCCAGAAAGCTTTAAGAAGAATACAGATATCTCAGCTGGAAATGCACTCCTGGGATTCCCCACCCAGCTATCTCCTCCGATGAGTACTCCAGGAGCCTGGAAGATTAGTTTTTGTTGGTCCGGAGCCAAAATGATGCAGAGGGCACACTTAAATAGAAACAGCAATAAGTCCCTGACAGTTAAGGAGCCTGATGTAAAACACAGAGCATTAAAAGACCAGCAAAGAGCAAACCCCGCTCCCCTAGCAGTATGATCAAGTGAGTGCTGTCATGCACAGAGCTTGGCAGTTTCACTTGCTTCAATACTAACCTGGGTGTATCACTTTTAACACAATTATAGAAACCTAATAAAAGTTTTCAGTACTATACTTGCCTGTATGCTGAGATTAAATTAGAACTGATTAGTAATATCTTGAAGTCTTTAATAACTCTGCTACTAAAATTAGTTTCTCTCTTTCATCTTAATGCAAAATATCCTCTGCAACAGAGAAAAATTAAAAAAAAAAAAGAGGGGAGGAACACAGTGACCCGGTGGTGACCGACCGGCACACCGCACGAACACTGCTGGGACACTGGCTAAGCACCACAGCTCTCATCCCAGAGACAGACGGCATCCCGCAGTGCCGCAGCCATCACCTCTATTTAGCATAGGCACTGCCGATCAGCAACAGGGAGACAACCTTAGGGGCAAGCTCCTCCTTGAAGTTTAGGAACAAAGCTGTCTATACATCAGAGCATCGTAGAATACCAGATTGGAAGGGACCTCAAGGATCATCTGGTCCAACCTTTCTAGGCAAGAGCACAGCCTAAACAAGTAAACAAGATGGCCCAGCACCCTGTCCAACTGCAAAAAAGCAGAGAAAAAAGAAAAAGCACTATTTGTGAATGAGGGCAGAAAACTTATCAACAGCATTATTTCAGGAGTTGATCCTGCTAATTTCTCTCAAGGACTTTACCTGCCTTCCCCAAGCTACCCCTTATTTCTTAACTAACAACTTAGTTTGGAAGGAACCTCTAGTTCAACCTTCCCCTTAAAAGCAGGTCAAACTACTTGAGGGCTTCATCCAGCCAAGTTTCAAGCACCTCCATGCATGGATGATCCCAGAACTTCTCAGGGCCCCTGTTCCAACAGTTGGCCACCTCTGTGGTAAAAAAATAGTTTTAAAATTGTATCTAATGAGAATTTCCCATGTTCCAACTAGTGCCAATTGCTTCTCAGCATATCACCGTGTGCCTGCAAGGAACTGGCTCTACTTCCTCTCTTTCCTCCCAATAGTTGAACACAGCAGTACGGTCTCCCGTAATCTTCTCTTCCTACAACTGAACAAACCTCTATTCCCACATGTGCTCCAGCCCCCTGACCATGATGGGAGCCCTCTGCTAGCTCCATGCCATAGATGTGCAGCACCTGCATCCTAAAAACCCTCTCTCTCAATTTCATTTTTGTTATGCATGAACTTACAGAACACCTTCCACTGTACATGCCTGGGCTTAAATTCTAAAATGTTTATAGCCTTCCCTAAAACAAATCAATTTCCTGCTTCAGATCAGATGGAAGGCTTACCCTGATGATTATGTACACTATTTTTCTGTTCAAGTCTGTTTTTCCCTTGAGTACTGGTTAAAACTATGGCTAAGCTTTAAAACTAAAAAGTAGGAAAACTTTAGACTTTACAACCTTACTGTTATTATAAAAACCCAGGACAAAGTATTTACTCCACTTCAAAAAACAGTCACATTCAGAAGAG